CCGATTCTCGAGCAACGTGTGACGTTCTACAGAGAGCCTTTGCAGCCAGACCACATCGTTGCCTACGCGCTTTACAGATGGGCGTCTGGCGAGACATACRAGAGYAGCACCTGCAGCTTTGGAATTGGCAGGGCTTCGGGTTTGGTGGCCGTCCGGGACGTTACAGCTGCGCTGCTTTCGGTGTACAGGGAGAAGGTGGTGTGGCCGACTGGGGTGCGGAAGGCGGTTGTTCTGCGTGCTTTTGCGGACAAGGGTTTCCCGAACTGTCAYGGGTGCATCGATTGCACCCATATCTACATCGACAAGCCGGCGAACSCGGCTCTAGAAGACTACTACCACCGCAAGAGACGATTCTCTGTCGTCGCTCAAGTTGTGGTGGATTTGGACTTGTGCKTCCTYGATGTGTTYGTGGGTTATCYGGGGARYTGCCACGGCGTCAGGGTCATCCATCTGTCTAGTCTTTGGTCGCGTGCGGCGGCGGGCGAGTTGTTCACAGGGCCTCCTGTGTTGCTGCCRTTCMAAGTGCAGACCAATGGTTATCTGCTGGCCGACAATGGTTACCCGYCRAGCGAATGGATGGTTGTCYCCTATGGCGGCACGACGCAGACTCCGTTCGAGGCCCGTTTCGACAACAAACAGACGACGRCGAGGGGGGCGATGGAGAGGGTCTTCGGGAGACTGAAGGGAATGTGGCGGTTGTTCCTTGGGTCGCACAAGACTAACATGGAGGCCTTGCCGCAGCAGTTCGTGGTCGTCTGCATCTTGCACAACATCCTGATCGACGTCSGGATCCCTTTCGATGAGAACTTGCTGTGGGAGGTGGACGCCAACGGAGTTCGCYGTCGAGTGGATCTTGGGATCCAGCGCCCCCCCAGGCCTTTGTGCATGGAAACTTCTACGGGGGAAGTGGTCATGCTGCGTGAAGCGCGGGCGGAGCGAATGATGCAGCAATGAGAGATGTCGGCGGCGCGGGGCGGAAGTAGATGTAAGCTGCGTACGTGGAAGAGCATTTGACGACGGCAGTAGAAGGAAGCAGCGTGCAGAGGGACGAAGGAGACAGTAGATTGTGTGATGCCGTCCAAGTCATCGTCGTCATTGTCGGAYGAAGACCGGAGAACGTCTGTGTAGTGTAGTAGTCCCCCTCCATTGTGTCATCCAYATTCARATTGGTGAYGACCGCTTTTTCTTTTCGTTTTCTTTCGATCCGTGCTTTCACATTGACGCGTTGATAGTGCTTTATTCCCAGTTTATGCGCAAGCCATAGGGCGGCAGATGTGGTGGTGGCGGCCGATTACTGTTGTCTGTGAACCGCATGGATACGAGATTCGGGTCTGTGGTGTGCGACAGACGCATGCATGCGTCGGGGTTCCTTTTCCCCGTTTTCTGAAGCGCAGTACTGCGCAGAGTGTACTTTTTATTTCTTTACAAGGGTTTGATGATTATTGTGTTCTGTTCACGGAGTTTTATTGCTTGTCGAGGACCATTTTTCTCCCTGTCATGTGCCCTGCGTGCCGAGATGAGGGCGCACTTACGTGCGTAATGATGTGAATGAGTGCAAGCCATTAATGATAGCATTCATTTGAGTCCACATATGTCCATGGTCCAAACGTTGGAGTACATATTTTATGTTGCCAATTATTCGTCTTCATCTTCGTGAAAGTGTTGTGAATGGTTGAACGATGAGTGCAGGAGAAAGAAGGTCACTGAATGAAAACGTCAATCTCTCACACATAATTCATGCACCTTATCACCCACAACTTTACATGGAAGCTTTGCAATCGGAAAGAACAAACATAAGAAAACACGACTGCGRTATAAAAGGAACGTTCGCCATAGCATACGAAATCAAATTAGCATCAAYGATGCGCATAGACATGATGGACGTTAATGACACCGYACAGTCGACGATGAGTGGCCCCTTTAATGAAAAGACGTGCATGTCGACTGCACTTTGCTGTCARCTTTATGAAACCGAGCTCCCACCCCTACTCGGCAACCGCTTTTACAACAGGAAACGACTCGACTCAAAGGAAGTAGAAGACAGTCTACGAAACGCGCGCAACCGCTATTCACACGCCATGCCAGCTCCTATCCCCATCATCATCGACGACATCGTCATCGTCGCCACCATCGTCGTCATCACCATCACCACCTTCGTCATCATCATCATCATCATCATCATCATCATCATCATCTTGATCATGAACATCGTCATCATCATCTTCATCATCATCATCATCTTCATCATCACCATCATCATCGTCACCGTCATCATCACAATCGTCATCATCACAATCGTCATCATCACGATCGTCATCATCATCATCGTTGTCGTCACCATCATCATCGTCACCGTTATCATCATCATCATCAACGTCATCATCATCGACATCACTGTCATCATCAGCAGCACCGGCGGGTGGCTGTGCGCGGTCACCTCCTATCGTCRTCCACAGCGCYTGCCRTCACGATTCCCCGCCCCCGTCCTTCTCGTCGTCTTCATCATCGATCTCCGCAGGTCCGGGGCCTAACCAATCTAGTCGTYTGGCGAGCTCARGAGACGTCAACGTGGCGTCGTTGTGGAATGACACCCCACACGAAACCCACTCGGGGATGTACACCGGAGGGTCGACCAACGTCATGGGGGGCTTCCCCATTTTCTCCGTTACTACATTGACACACTGCAGAACATGGCGGCGCGCGTCGAACGACGCATGCAGCGACGCAATGAGCATCGGTTTCGCAATGAGCTCCACGAGATGGGACGCCTCATAATGCGAACGGAGATTATCTCCCGCCATCCTCATGATCCACATGGCAGCAGACAACAAAAGGCGCATGCAGTCTGCCACGTTCCTCAGCCTCTCATACGATATCCGCCCGCCGTCTACCCCCTCCCCCATGTCAACAACATTCGTGAAAGCTCCCACCAGACGCTGCGTTGTGGACTCCTGATACGACGCCATTTCGTCATCCTCGTGCCTGTCGTGTATGACGCCACCTACGTACCAGATGGGGAGMTTCATATGAAGCTCCAAAGTGTTATGGACGACCGCCGGACTCACACCTACCCGCCAGTCCTCTCCACACCAGATGGCGCGGGCGAGGTCTGTGGCGATGTGGTTCAGCACATAGCCGTAGGAGCAATGGTACCCGCGGGCGCGATTGGGTGACTTGAAGATCCACCCATGGATGATGCGCAACGCTATGGTCTGCACCCTCGAAGCCCTCTCCTTCGCGGCCCCCAACTCCGATATGTCTTCTAGCTTCTGCTGAAGGATCGTGGCGTTCGGGAGGACAATGCTTTTTCTGATCTCTGACGGTTTCACACCCTTCGCGATGGAAATGAGGTGCAGGCGAGTCTCCTGGATGATCTTGAACATCCCATGCCCCTCCGTCTCGTTCCAGAAACGCAGATCGTCCACCCACAGCTTCGCTTTCGCCTCTAGAGCCGCCAGGTTTCCGGATCGCCTCTGCCTGTTAATGAGGGGATCGTTGTCWTCAGCATTATCACGACCGTCGCCACCGCCCCCCCCCGCGCCGGTCGCCGATGTACCAACAACGGCCCCCACCGCTGCGGCTTCCTTTGCGGGAATGTGCGTCGCAAGCTGTCCCCTGACTGCCGCATTCATCCTCGCCCCTTCATCCCTTCTCGCCTGTCCCGCCGTGGGCGTCGCTGGGTTTGAAGGCGCCTGCATTGGCGGGTGTTTACCGATGTCCTGAGCCGCTTGGACGTCCTTCGACGGCACGGCGCCGCGCATGCCAGGGGTCGTCGGCTGGCCACGCTCCTCCCTGGCAGCAACACCGCCTCCCACGTCGCCGCCCGCCTCACCCTTGCCACGCGCAACCCCGTGACCCCTTCGCGCGTTCGACAGTTCACGCAAGGTCCGTTTCCTCTCATGAAACGTGTCGACGCCTTCCTCTCCGCTCA